TACGAAAAGGAAGCATTAGCTACTATTTTTTGCGTATCTCATTTTCGACCATATTTATACCGTAGAAAATTTACTTTAGTAACTGATCATAAACCATTAGTATGGTTTCAAAATTCGAAGGATCCTTGTTCACGTGTTTCGCGTTGGAGATTAAAATTAGCAGAATATAACTATGATGTAGTGTACAAGGCAGGTAAAATGAACGTGAATGCAGACGCTCTTTCAAGAAATCCAATTCCTAACGAAGAAGAATTATTTAGGAATCAAAAGGTGCTTGACGATGACACATTTTTAAAATTTGGGGATAATAAAAAATCAAGTGAAAATATTCGCGATAGTAATAATACATCTAAATTATTACTCTTATTAACTACTCTTCTTAACCCAATACTTAGTGATTACATTACAAACACACAATGGAAAACCATTCTCACTAAGGCACAACGAAAATTAGAAGAAACGGGAATTCAAGAAAAACTTACGGAAAACGTAGAAGAAACATTGCAGCCCATTATCAAGAGGTCAAGAGGTCGTCCTAAAAAATTAAAAAATAAATTTCCCATACAAGAAGACAAGGTTGGTACCAAAAGAAGAGGAAGGCCGAGGAAAGACAAGAAGCCAATATCAGAAGCTGAAGAAGAAACTGATCCAGAATACTTCGATGAATTAAGAAGAAATAAACGACTTAAAAATACAAAAAGGAAGAAGAAAAACAAAATCGTAATTCAAGAAAAAGAAAATGAAGACAATGAAAATTACTTTTCATCCACAGAAGATGATAGTTCAGAAGAAAATGACGACATATTCGAAGAATCCCTCGATGAAGAATTTTATGAAGAAGAAAATATAATCTTTCAAGACGCCATGGATAACGAAGAAATTTTTGAAGAAGATAAAATACAAGAAAGTGAAATTGAAAAAAATAACGAAAATAACGGGCGTAATCTAAGAAGAAAAGAAGAAATTACTCAAGCACCTCCTGTTCAAGAAAAACAATCTACGAGTAAAAAAAATTTTGATAGAATGTCGTGACCAATTAACAATGCGAGAAGAAAATTATTTATATTTTGTTAGTACTAACGGTACCCCTCTCGACAATGGATCTAAAAGTTTAACAAAAAAATAAATTCTACCTAAATTTAATAATTTACAAAAGGGTTTAGTAAAATAATTGAAAAAGGAAAAATATTATCATTTTGCACTTCCAATTCAAGAAAATGTCAAAGAAAACTTAACTGATACTCTAAATACAATCAAATCATATTTCAACTCTTTACTTTCAATTAGTGATAAACTAAACATTCGGAGTATTAGTATAGCAAAAACATCTCAAATTAATCACATTCTTTGGGATGATATTAAAATTTTAATTCAAGATATTTTTTCAAACTCTAAAACAAAATTTATAATTTGTAATGGGATTACGCAATACCCTAATAAAGAAATTAGACAACAGATATTAGAAGAAAATCATTCATCGGCAATCGGAGGCCATAAGGCCTCCGAAAAAAAAACTTTAAAACTAGAAAAAAGTTCAAAAACTTTAGCTAGAATTCGTCAAAAATATTATTGGGAAAATTTAAAATTAGATATTCAAAAATATATAAACGGATGTTTACAATGTCAATTAAAGAAATTAGTTCGCGTGAAAACTAAAAATCCAATGATTATCACAGACACACCTACAACTGCTTTTGAAAAAATGTCTATGGATATTGTAGGACCTTTTAACCCTCCAACTAAATCTGGTAATACGTACATTTTAACAATTCAAGATAACTTCACAAAATACTCTTTAGCAATCCCTTTACCTAATCATCAAGCTGCTACAATAGCAGACGCATTTGTGAAAAAATTCATTTGCATATTCGGTTCACCTAAAGGCGTACTAACAGACCAGGGAAGAGACTTTTTGAGCAATTTATTAAAAAGATTAGCAAAACGTTTTAGAATTAAACAATTTCGTACAACAGCTTTTCACTCCCAATCTAACGGGTCACTCGAACGTTCGCATCATGTTTTAGCAGAATATTTAAAACAATTTATTGAGAAAAATTCAAAATGGAACGATTGGTAAGTATTAGCAATGTTTTCCTACAATACTAGCATACACGAAGGAACAAAATGTACACCATACGAACTTCTCTTTGGAAAATTAGCTCGTGAACCCTCTAGCGAACCTCCTTCTCAAAACGAAAAATTACAAACATACGATGAATATTTAACTACCTTTGTTACACAATTACACGAAATGAGAGCACAAGCAAGGGAAAATTTAATTTCGGCTATGGAAAAATCGAAATTTTATCATGATAGAAAAATTAATCCCCTAGAAATAAACATGGCGACTTTGTATTTTTATTAAACGGAGGAAAAATTAAAAAACTAGAAAACCAATACTCAGGTCCTTAGGGGCCGTCCATAAACCACGTAGCCCCATTTTTTGGGAATTTTGACCCCCCCTCTCCCCTCATGTAGTACGCTATTACATGTATTAGCGCCATTTTTTCCTCTTGTCGTAGTCAATTGCTTGACCCCCCCCTCCCCCTCAAGAGGCTACGTGGTTTATGGATGGCCCCTTATAAAATTTTAGAAATATTAGGAAAAGGTAATGTAAAAATTAACTTTAAGGGAAAACCATTAATAGTCCATATTAATATATTAAAGAAATCAAAAATTAATTCTTAACTTAACAAATATAAAACAATTATCTAATATAATTTTTTCTCGTTTCAGATCTGAGAAGCAGAACATATATTTTCAACAGGAGTACTCATCATATATTTTTTTTATTTTTCCCAATCCTTATTTAGCAACACCCATTTTCCTCGCCTCGGAGAAATGTATTTTGAAAGTGATAATTACCGATAAATTTATCTTTTCTGAGATTCACATGAAATACAAACTCATATCTAAAACTAATTCATATTTCCAAATGATTATGGGATCCAATATTCTTTAAAAATTATTTACAAAGTCATTTTCTGTATTAAAATACCTTCCTCCAGATTTCCACGGACATTCTATAAATAAATGATTAAAAATTTTAATCAAACTAATTTTTTTTTTAAATTTACAATTTCTATAGTAAAACAAAGTAAAAAAAATAAATAAAAATAATTACAAAATTTTTTTAAAAATAATGCTGCAAAACTAAAATTTAATAACAAGAATAAATGTTTTTAATTTGTTGATGTTCCTATCTACAAGTAGCAAGAGATGCAATTATTAAATAAATTTTGAACTTGATAAAACGATTTTATAAAGAAAAACATAATACATGGATTTAGTAAATTTCTTTAGTAAAAACAAGTCCATTTATTATGTCAAATTATTCTTTATATCTTACAAGAAGAAGATTCTTAAAAATAAATCCCTTATATATAAAATAACATATAAAAGACAATGAAATATTCAAAGTAATAAATTAGAAAAAAAGCCACTTTTATTAAATTCTTTTAACTTTCCAAATAACCTAACAAAATCTTTAATAATTAATTATATACCAGAATTTCCAAAAATTTCAAATACAATAATTAAACAATATAAAAAAAAAATTTTTCCATAATATAAAAAAATAAGAAATAACATATATAATGTTAATAACATTTTTAACAGTAAGAATTATAGCGCTATTCAAAATTTAATAAAACTATCAATAATATATGTATATATATTTTAAAGAAAGTTATCAAATCATAAAAACAAAAAAAAATTTCTTTTGCTTATATATAAATATTTTTTTTCCTTTTACACTATTCTTCGAAAAGCATTGATTATAAAAAAAATGGTTCTAGAAAACCAAACTTTCGATGAAAGCGAAACATTAGCTCCTATTAGATCAGCTTTTCAAGACAGACTATATAACAAACTAATACGACATATATGTTGTAGAAAAATCACAACCAAAAACAGATTTATTAAACAACAAGGGTTAATATATTGCGAAGATTGTTATCCGCTATTCGACAATAAATTAGAGATGAGACAAGATGGTCATTTAATAGCATGTGCAAATATAAGCCTAGATTTCTTTAGATGCAAAGAAGTATTATACAAAGTAGTAAGAAGATCATTATTTTGTAGACAATGTTACATCGAATTAAGGGCAATACTACAAGATATAGTTTGGGAAGAAAACAATTTATTCTTAATTTAACATTAGATAGACAAAAATAATAATAAGTACATATTAAATAAATAACAAAACAAAATATATATATATATACATAAAGGATAATTAATTAAATTAACTCACTATTCTTTACGAATAATCTTATAATACTGACTTTATGAAATAAAAAAAGGAAAAATTATATATAAACCTTCTATTTTTTTAAATCTTTTCTACAATTTTATAAGTATTTTTACAAGTAATATGAACAATTAATATTAAATAAATCTTACTCAATCATTGTGAAGCAATTATGCTCTATGAGTTATTAACAGATAATATTTAACGATTTGATTTCAATACTTAGTTCCCTACGACTAATAATAAAAATAATGTATAAAATATAAAAAAAAATTATGTTCAATCATTTAATGTAAACTATCTACATTGAACAATTATATTATTGTACGACTCAATGACAAATAATAGACTGCGAATTATTTTAAAACTTTTTGCAAAATATTAACAAATAATCATGTACTTTGAATAATTAAAAAAAATGAATAATGTACAACAAATAATGTTCTACGAATAATTTAAAAATATTAAAAAATATTATTAAACAAATTATTTTTAATTAACAATTACTAAACAACTATATTTTATAAAAAAAAATTTTTTTTCAAAAATTGTTCTACGATTTAAACTAAATTTTTCTTATTCTACAATTTATACAAAAAATTTTTTTTCCAAAAAAAAAAAATTTTCTACGATTTAAACAAAATTTTTCTTTTTCTACGATTAAAAATTTTACATATATTATTAAACAATTACTTTTTCAATTCAAGTTAACAAATATTAAACAATTACAATGTTCTACGATTTATGCAAAATTTTTCTATGACTTACTCAAAACTTTTTCAATTAACAAATAATGTTAAAACGATTTTACTCAATAATGTTAAACAAACATATTGTACTACGATTTACTAAAATATTTTGTTCTTCACAATAAACACTAGAATAATGTTTTCTTGTAATTCTTTTTCTACGATTTAAAAGAAAGTTAACCTTATGTATTACGATATCGAGAATTTTAGACAAATCTTCTGCCGAAGCTTCAATCGCAAATTTTCAATTGTGTGATTGAATTAAGAGGGGAGGTGTCACATGCCACGTGTGTGACCTTTAAGTAACCTTAGACCAGACCTGTTAACAAGCAAACTTGACAAACACCCATCGATGAGCAATCTTTTTACAACCCTATTACGTCGATACACGGATGTGATCTGGGTATATAAGGCCCTAAATTTGGATCCAAAAATCAGTATCTAATTTAAATCAAAGCGATCGACATCATCTCTGTACCAGTAGTCAGTGCGAATCTATACTCGTAACCTACGAAAATCCCAGTTCAAGTAATACCCATCTCGTGAGTTGGAAAGGCGGTGCATCTCAGCTGACTGTGGACGCACGAGCGGAGAACGGGTTTCCAGCTTCGAATAGAAGCAATAAAGGTAATTAACTAAATCTTTTCATCATATCTTTTCAATACAATTTCTATATCTAATAAACGCCTATTTGTTAAAGGTGTTTATTGGAAAAGGTCTTCTCTCGGCAAGATAAAAATAACGAACTTCAAGAAATCATTATATAAATTTATATAATAAATTTTATTTAACTAACTCTTAGACTTTTTCATTGATTCTTTTTCCTCATTCCCAAATAAGATTTCTTCGGAATTTCTTATTTAAAACGAGGATTACAAATGTTAAGAGGTGAGTTACTTTTCACGTAACAATTGGGATTTTTAATTTCTGGAGAGGACTGATAAGATGGGAGAAATAAATTGTTTACAATTATTTTATTATATTATTTTCTTATCAATATTACAAAATGGTTTTACTTATTTTAAATACACAATCTGTTTGAGCAATGGGGTCACTAAATTATTTGTGAATTTTAGATAAATCTTCAATCCACTATCGCCATATTTGACAGAACTCTTATATATAATTTGTCAATCCGTTTCGGGATTATTCATAAATTTATTTGTCAATTCATTTATTAACAAATAAAACCCTGAAAATATTGTCAATCCACTACTGGATTATTCAATAAATATTATAAACATATGTTAATCCATTACTGGATTATTCAAAATAATAATTTCAAGAAAACAATTGTCAATCCACTTCTGGATTATTCAGATTAATTATTTCAAAAGAAAAAATGTCAATCCACTTCTAGATTATTCAATTAATTACTACACGGAGAAAAATATAAAGTCACTTTTACTACTTTTATAGTAAAAAATTCCCGTTAAAGCATTTCTGGTAATTTTTACTACTTTTGGAGTAAAATTTGCTACGTTCGAAGTGAATTTTACTAATTTTTACAAATATGTACTTCCAACGTAGGAAAATATACTCCAAAAGTAGTAAAAATTACCAGAAATGCTTTACTGGAAATTTTTTACTATAAAAATATTATTCAAAATAATAATTTCAAGAAAACAATTGTCAATCCACTTTTGGATTATCTTTATAAATAAGATCAGACTTTTGTCTGTACACTGCATAGAAATTGAAAATTCCTATTTAGTTTTTCTATTCAAGTAGTAAGAATTCCAAAAATGCCAATAAAAAAAATTATGTATGTATGTATTAGCCTGGCCATTTTTGTAAAATTATTTAATATCAATGAGTGCCGGGCTGAAAAAGTTTCCTTTTCATCTAAAAAAACAAATACAAAAATAATAAAGTGAATGTATGAATAATTAATGGACCCAAAAACTGATTGAATGGGAAAAAAGAGATTTTATTGAATTTTTGCAGTATTTTTCAATGTACACGTAAATATAATCATGAATACTTTTGACATGAAAAATTATTTTTAAAATAAATTGTATAATTATATAATACAAAAAGTGATCGATTCAAAAAATGAATTTAAAAAAGTTCAAGTGATTATCGGCGTTTGAGAAGATATGACGTATTAATAATTGAAGATGAAAAAAAATTAATAGTTTCTTTACATAATAATGCCAGCGAAAGTGTGAAATATTTCGTTCATAATAATAAAATTTTTAATATACTAAAATCTGCTCATACTAAAACATTCATTTCTTTAAGGATTGTCACCGGCAATATAAGGAAATGAGAGAAACTTATAAAAATTTGACAGTTTGTTTTGTATATTATTTTAGAAACATATGAATTTTTTCAGAATTTTTTACCACGTAGTTTTTTCTTAAAAAAATTAATTAAATACTTTTTATAATATTTAAATCTTGAAAAAATTTTATCATTAATTTTTACATCTTTTTTTAATGTTTTTTTTTCTTTCAATAAAATAAATATATAGGTTTTTTGATTAAAATTATGAAACTGAAATTTTTTTTTGAGGTTGCAAACATGCAAGATTTTACATGGGAGCAATGGGAACAATCCCCTTGACCATCACCACCGCCGTGACAATCCTTAATCGACTGCTATGGACAATATTGTACAGGAGAAATCGTACTCAGCTGGCTTTGTACAAACATCTCTGTACCGAGCTAGCTTAGTACACATATTTCTGTACAGAGCCCGGAAATTACAGCTCTGTACAAAGCAGCTTGTACCAACCGCGATCAGTACAAAAATCGTTGTACAGATCGGGCTTTGTACAATTTCCGGCTTGGTACGTAACATATATATATATAAGAGACTTCTTTCCCTAAAATTTTTGAAATTGTTGAAGATACGCCATTTTAAATTTTAATATTAATTTTATAAAATTTTGAATATCTCGGAATATGGTTTGTGGATTCTTATGAAATTTACACATTTTTCAGGTAAAAATTTTGTAATTTAAAATAAAAATAAAGTTAATACAAAAAAATTAATTTTTAAATAAAAAATTTTAGGTATATCTCCGGCTGCTACTCTTGATAAAATTGATTTTCAATAGATTTTCTTTAAATTTTGAGAAAATGTTTCTTTGTAAATATTTAAATATTTCAAAACTCTTTGCAATGTCAAAAAACGAGATATTGTGGTTGACATTTTTTATTTTTAACATAATCGCATGTAAAAGTTAAAGTTTGAACTTGTATATCTCAAAATTTAGCATCGCAAAAGGGTTTTGAAATTTTTACCACATTTAAAGGGCAACCGAAGAGATATTTTCTTAAAATTTAAAGAAATTCTATGAAAAAACAATTTTTTCAAGAGTAGCAGCCGGAGGATTCGAATATTTTTTAGCATCGACAAAGATTTTCTATGGTAAAAAGCACCGAAAATTTCTGTAGAGCATTAAAAATTTCCAAAATTGATGAAGAAATTGTCGTTTATCATCAATTTTTAAAAATTTAGGAACCGTTTGTACCACAGGCCGACAGTATTTACGAAACAAGAATCAAACAATATTTTTCCGAAGGTTTTCAACGTGATAATTCCAAATCCAGCGTCATAATAGACCCTGCACGTCAGGTTTTCGAGGTATTTTAACTTAAAAGTGCAAAAGACCAGTTTTTTAACATCCAAAGATAATTGTTTTGACAAAAGTTTAATATGGCGTCTGAAGACGCTACTTTTCTTCTTTAAAATACATTTTGAAAATTTAAAATATTTCTATTTTCCTCTGAGTAATCGTTCATTCTGTTTACTGAGTTTGGCAAATTCTTTGAAAACTGAGTAAAAACATACAAAACTTCGATAATGAAGAAGAATATTACTACAAACCAGAATATAAATTTCAAATACTTCTGCGTATTTTCGGTACAACTAAATGCGAATACGATATCAGATTTACCAAATCGTCTGCCATATACGATCCGCTATTTTGAATTTTAGAAATCTGACATAGAATTTGTATCCAGTTATACCGAAAATCTGCATAACCAATTGAAATTTAGATGCTTGTAGTTAAATTCTTCTATATTATCGAAGTTTTGTCTATTTCTCCTCAATTTTTGTAAAATTTGCCCAACTCACTAACAAATGAAGATTTTTTAAATATCCGAAATGAAAAAAATCGAAAAACTTTTATTCAAAATTTCATGTACCGATTTTTTCTTTTTTGTCTTAAAATTATTGTATGGCTTTACCGAAACGATACTAAAAAAATTGGATGGGCAAGAACTTTTGGCTTTTTATTCGAAGCTCACCTTGTTGCTGCAGCTAGTCTTTTTTTACAAAAACTTCAATATCACCGGAACCAGATGAGTCTTCATCAATTTTGTTTTATTAAATTAAAGGTGAATTCATAAGGATTCCAAATATGTTAATAACATTTTTCTCAGAGAGGAGTAAATAATCAAAAAAAATTTTTTTTAATTTTTTTATTTACATTATTTTTATTTAAAAGTACACATTTTTACCTGAAAAATGTGTACACTTCATAAAAATCCATAAACAATAGTCCGAGATATTCAAAACTTTATGAAATTAATATTAAAATTCAAAATGTCAATAAAATCTCTTTTTCTATAATATTATTAAGTTTTTGGGTCTATTAATTATTTATAGATCAACTTAAGTATTTTTGTATTTGTTTCTTGAGGTAAAAAGGAAACTTTTTCTGCCCGGCGCTCAATGATATCACCAGATTAAAAAATATCTTAACAAATCGCGGCCAGGCTAGTATGTATGTATGTATGTATGTCTGTGTGTATGTATGTATGTCTGTCGCGATATTTTGTCCGGGATAAACACAAAGACTACTTGACCGATTAAAGCGAAACTTTATAGTCTCTTAGGTATTAGTCTAACTTAAATTTATAGCCATATCCGATTGAAAAATATTAAGCTGAACGAAAGTTATAGCTTTTTTCACAAAATTCAAAAAATCAAAAAAATGCAAATTTTTAAATTTTTTGTCAAATTGATGTGACACTTTCTGTAGTTACTTTTTAATATAAATACAACTAATTTTCACTGTAAAAATGAAAAATAAATAATATGTTCGAGTTTTTAAGACAAAATCATATTTTTGATTTTCGACAAAATTTTTAATTAATTTTTTTTTAATATTGTTTAATTTTTTATTAAGTTGGTAGTGATATCGGTTAATGTTTTTAAATTTTTAATTACATTCGTTACATTTATTTTATTAAAAAGTTTAGAGTCATGAATTTGATGTCGATTACAAATTTTCTAAAATCAATGAACGTGAGTTTGCAAAAAATTTCTATATTGATATTTTCAGATTTTAAGTTTGAAAACTTTATAGCACGTATTTTCATATTTCATTTAACGTAGAAAATAAAATATATGTATATGTTCAATATAAAGGGTACAGTAAGAGCATCAATAAAACTGAAATTTAACTTCAGCGGGTACGGTAACATATAAAGTCCTTAAAACGCCATTAGGGCAAATTGGGATTTATGAATCAAAATTTTCTTATTTTTGAATTCTAGAAATGTTTTAAAAATGACTATAAAAATAAATAACAAATTCCTATTCATGAATTAAAATGTTATTTCTTCAATTTTAGAAATGTTTGGGGTATGTTGTTGCTTTCCAAAATTCTATCTGGGCACTAAGCAAAAACGGGTAAATTGTAAAATCCCATGTGGAAATTTTCAATAGGGATATGGAAAAATTATACCTACTTGAAAAATAAAAATAGATTTTACATGGGATTTTTTATTAAATAAATATAGGCTTTTTGGGTTTATTTAAATATAGTTATCACT